GTTTTACCAGATACATGTCGGGTACTACATAGCACTAAACGAACACACACGAACAATGCATTCAATTCGAATTGGAGCATAACGGCTAGAAGACTCCAGAATAACCTAAGAGTGAAAGCACTGTTTGGTCGTTTCCGCCTACTACAAGGGCAGTGATAGGTTGACATCAAATCGACGCAGTAGCTATTCCGCAGACTTTTAAACAATTCCTTAAATTTATGCACCATATATGGGTTTTTGAAGGCTTGCAAAGTTTGACAACTGGGTGAAGTAGGCCAGCAATAAAATCTGAAAGGATGCAAAGGGAAAGATTTAAAAGTGATTTTATCTACAGCTCCTCAATAATCGGCTAAGTTCCGGGCATGCTGCTACAGATAAAATTCCTCGGCTGCTCCCCATTGTTCAAGCAACTATTTCCAGACATAGAACATCTAAACAGGACAGGACCTCCACCTGGTCGGAATGGAACACTGACACACCCCATAAATGCGTCCAAGCAAACAAAGTTTCTCGTAGCAAGTCGAAGTCACAATGGCTCACAGGGAGAAATAACAAAATCCTTACTTTATCGGCGGTCATTGCGACCGGTATGCTCCTGGTATCTGTGTTTGTGGTAACCTTTGTAATCGTGTCGGTTGCGACTAAATAAAAGCATTAAAGCATTTACTACTCAACAAGCTTCAATTTTTCCAACAATGACAGGCAAGTAAATCCATTCAAGTATTTCTTACTAAGCCATAGCGAGATTATCACGGTTTGCCTCCATATGGGTGTCGATTATGGCCTCGCAACATAAAGATGGGAGAGGTAAGCTCAACTCCTATAAGTATGTAATCAAGCTAGTAGCTATTGTAAGTTGCCAAAAGACGACGAAAGGGAGGAGGAGACGAGATAATTAATGTAAATTTCAATAATTTGCTTCTTCAACTGCCAGGTTTAGTGGAGGTCACTTTAACAGCCATATCACTTTTTAAGGTTGGTTTGGCATTCGAGCATCATCAAAAGCCTATTTTCATTTGTTCCTCTCTCAACGTGCATACTTATTGCAATAGTTTGGTAATTTGACTACTTGTATGACTGGCGGTCACTGTGATATTCAGCATGCTCTAGCTTAGTGAGACGGTGTTCGTACCAAGCCAAAGTCCGTCTTCCTCTTCTCCCTAATAGGCAAGCATTCCGTAATGTCTGATGTCATTATTCTTGGAACATTGCTATCTTAAAATTATTACACATTTTAAACCTATCTGGAAGTCTCAGGACAGTAAGCATGTAGAGACGTCAAAAAAACTGCATGGTTAAATATGCGATTGTAAAAAAGTCGGTCCACATAGAGAAATGTAATGCGCCTCGAAATCTCATACCTAACAGAAGAATATATTGAGTTGAGCTGAATGCGCGCCTTCCAGGAAGATAAAAAGTAATTGGACTCTGGATTGGTCT